TCCGGGGGCTGCGCGGCGCGGCGGAAGCCCCAGCGCTGGCGGTCGTAGCTCTTCTTCTCCTTGGCCAGCAGCGTCTGCAGGTAGATCATGCGGAAGCGCTCCTGGTTCACCTCCCGCTCCAGCCGCCGGATGGAGGCCTTGCAGCGCTCCAGCTCCTGCTCGATGTCGCCCACCGAGCGCAGCTCCATGCGCGGCGGCTCCGAGTCCGGGAACTGCGCCCTCCACGCCTCGGCGAAGCCCACCGAGTCCACCATGGCGCGGCCGGCTTCACCTGCGCCGCGGGGGCCGCGAGCCCGAGCCCCGGGTCCCTAGAGGCGGCGGCGGCGAGCCGATCCCAGCGGGCCCGGCCCGGGGCGCCCCGCGGCATCCATGCCCGCCCCCCGCGGCGGCGGCGGCGAACAATGCCCGCCCCCCGGGGGCCGCAGGTGAGGCTCGGCGGCGGGGGGCGCGGGCGGGGGGGGGGAAAGGAGGGCGCGGGGCCGCGCGTGCGCGCCGCTATTGTGTGCGGGGCGGCCGGGGACCGTCCTCCGCAGAGCCGGGGCTGCAGCGAGCGCGGGCCTGCGCCGCCCCGCGCGCCCCCTCGCCTCCCGTTCCCGCGCCGCCCCGCCGCCCCGCAGCCCTCCCCGGCAGGCGCTGCTGCGCTCGGCCCGGCCAGCCCTCGCCGCACTCCCGCCCCGGCCCGCACTCAGCGCTGCAGGAAGGGGCGGGCCGGGGGGCGGGGCCGCCGAGCGGCTGACGGGGGCGGGGGCAGGCCCCGCCTCTTAAAGGGGCCGCACCGCGGGCGGAGCGCAGGGTCTCCGGAGACACACCGGGTCGGCCGTGGCTAGCCGGTCCCGTCCCACTCTGCGCGGACTCCGGGGCGCCCCAGGCCTGGTGACTCCGAGCGCTCCCTTCCACCGCGGTGGCCCTAGCTGGTTCACACCTGGAACAGAAATATCTCCTTCCTCTTTTCTGTCAAGCCCGGGTACCCAGCGGGGCCCAAGCTACTAAGAAATCAACCCAGTGAGACAGCTGCGGCCAGGCTGGGCACCCAGGCCAGCCAGCCTCCAGGGTTGGAGATGTGAGGTGGGTGATGAAGGTTCTACAGTGGCCACTCGTTTGTCTCCGGACTCCTTACACTGAGTGATAAATAGATGCTCGTTCAACGCATCTCCTCCCTTCCCGAGTCCTGACTTCTGACCCCCGTGGGGCCGGGGTAGTATTTTCAGCGTCTCTGTCCTTCTCTGAAGGGATCACACACCTCTTTCTTAGCCACGGAGGAGTGGAAGCCAGGAAACCTTTAATGATTCCCGAGGAAGCTTAGGGATCGGGAGGCACGCTGTTTTGACACTGAGTACAAAGTGAAATCCAGGCCAGCCTGCTGTGGGAGCTGAAAGGAGAGGGGACGGGACGTAGCAGCTGAAGGACGGCCTGAGTTCTGAGCACTCTTCCCTCCCCGTGCCTCAGTTTCCTGAGCATCGAGGGAAACAAAAACAAAAAACCAACCCAGCACGCCTGCTGTTGTTTCCACGGTCGTAAACAGGCTTTTCTGTAGACACCGGGACCAGCAGGCGGATGAGCAGGGTCTCCCTGACTTAGACCGCGTGGTCTCAGCGACTCTCTGTCCCTCCCTGGAGCTCTCTCGTCCTCACGTGCAGCGTTTTGTACGCACGGGTGTGGGACGTGGTGTGTGTTAGCGGTGGCGGTTCCGGCGAGCCTTCGGAGGCAGGCTCGAAACTCCGGGCGCCGTGCAGCTCGCTGCTGCCCTCTGCAGACCGCCGTGATCTCCTGTCCCCTCCTGCCTTGCCTACCTCACCCGTCTCTTGCCGGGCAGGCAGTAAACAGCTGCTGAAAAGAAACAGTTTTGCCGGGCCCTGACTTTGGGGCCAGTGAGGCAAAAAAATAAATAAATAAAAATAAAAATAAAAAAAGGCACGCATTCTAGAAGGTAGTGAACGATGTTTTTCTTCCTCGGTAGACTCACTTTTAAAATGAATGTTAAGCCTGCTCCTCTGCTGGGGGTCTTGGCTCAACGGTAGAGGTCCTGTTCAAGACAAGCCCATGGATCACTGCCCAACAGTACAAGAAAGATAAAGGGAGGAGGAGGGGGAAGGGATGGGAGAAGCAGGAGGAGGAAGAAAGGGGGGGAAAAAGCCATGACCTTACCAGGTCACAATCAATACTAGCTGCCGCCTGTAATGATCTGATGGACTCATTCAATAAGTGGGCCAGGCAAGAGGAGAACAGCTCAGGTCCCTGGAACCCTATTTCCTGGCCATCGGAGTAAAGAATCTTCCAAAGACAGTATTCTTTTTTCCCTTGTTGATTGAGCCCTTCAGTAGGCTCATTAGGGTCCATAGTGTGGCAGCTCTCTGGTTCACAGACCCCCAATTCAGCTCCACTTTAAACATTTTTGCAGGGTTTTTGGTGGGTGGGGTGCTGGGACCTTGAACTCAGGACCTTCTACATGCTAGGCAACCTCTCTTCCCCAGAGCCACACTCCCTCCCCCTACACTTTAAGTGGATTTCGTTTACTCAGCCACTCATTTACTTTGAGAGCCCACACTTCTGGACTCAAGTAGATCCACTTCTTGCTTCAGCCTCCCGAGCAGCTGGGACTATGTTTATGCACCGTTATGTTAGCTTTTAGTATTTTATAAATAAATAAATTTGCTTTTAAAACCCAGAAACTCGTTTATTGGGGTTTGCAAAGTCTGTTCTCTCGGCATAGCAAATTGCTTGTCCAGTACAAGCACACATCCACAAAGTGACTTTCTTCCTCCATCAGAGAGTCTTTTCTGGCCCCAAGAATACTCTTCGTCCTCAGGACCTCCCCAAAGGAGCGTTAACACAAAGTTTCTGGTCCTTTTCTGCACAGAGCATCTCCCCCCACCCCCCACCCCATAGAGCTTTCTCATCATCTGTCCTTCTCTAGGAGGACAGAGTGAGGAGAGACGGAGGGTCCGTACACACCTACAATCTGTCTGTCTGTTTCCACTAGATCCTAACTCTGCAAGCATTTGGGTCGTCAGCAAGTAGTGGTCAAATTGAGATATATGTGTGGCTGAGAAGCACAGCCCAGGAGGTGTGTGTGTGTGTGTGTGTGTGTGTGTGTGTGTGTGTAAGAGACAGACAGACAGAGAGAAGGCAACAGGCAGATAGCAAGAAAGAGGCTTTAGGAAGGTAGCTATTTGAAGAACAGCTAAGTTACGAGATGAGGTCAATGTGGGAAGCAGGGGGTGAGGTCATAGGTTGGCCAGCACCTTCTAGATGCCTAAGAGATTTAGGTTTCATTTTAAAGGCGAGTAAAGCCACCAAACAGGTCTCGGCCTGCATGGCCCGGAAGTTCCCACCGCAATACATGTCCTATTATCTGTGTGCCTGTAGCCTTCTCCACGTGAATCCCAGGCACTAAGATGTGACGTCAGTATGTCAAAGAACAGAATGTTCTGTTGAACTTTAATGAATTTATGTGTAAGTACTCCCAGCTCGACAGTCCTGCTAGGTCAGTCCATGTAGTAGGCAGAGGGCAACCTGCTTGATAGTTTTGGGTGGGAGGTTTGTTGGATGGTGTGGTGGTAAGAGTGGATCTGTAGCAATCCATGCAGAAGTTGCCGACCTAGACTAGTTTGGGAACAAGGTGACCAGAAGAGAGGGTTAGCTTGCAGGGCCATTCTTGGAGTGGAGCTCAGAGGACTTGCAAGATGGTTTAGGTATGGAGAACTAGGGAGAAGGACCAGTCATGGGTTCAAAGAAAGATACTGACTGCCCATCTGTGGTACCAAATAGGTATGTATGTACCACCATGCCTGGTTCATTTGGTGCCAGGGATTAAACACAGGCAGGCAGGCAGGCAGGCCGAGTTCAGTGGGAGAGAGCTTGCTAGCATCTACAAGGCCCTAGAGCCACCGTTCTCAACCTATGCGTTGAGACCTCTTTGAGTCAACTTGTAACGAAAATACATCCTGTATAGCAGATGTTTACATTACAATTCATAACAGTAGCAAAATTATAGTGATGAAGTAGCAATGAAAATAATGTTATGATTGGGGGGGTCAATTACAACATGAAGAACTGTCTTAAAAGGTCACACAGCATTAGAAGGGTTGAGAACCACTGCCCTAGAGTGAACTTCCAGCACAATGGAGAAAAAAAAGAGAAGCTGGATCTTTTTTGCTTTTTCTCTACCCAGTCTTCATTCCTATCTCCATGCCTGCTGGAGGCAGGGGGAAGCCTGTCTTTTAAGTGGGATGTCACTGTGTCATCCATCTGTTATCCATCATGTCATCTGTCATCTTGAGGGAGAGAGAGACAACAGCATCAGTTCCCTAGCTCTGTTTGCTCATGCTGCGCTCAACAGTGCTTAGCTGGAGGGCCTCCTCCACGCTGACAAAGCCCTGGCCTACAGTAGGCAGCGGGGATCTCGGTAGGGTAGCCTTGCCAAGTAGGCAGTGGGTCTTCTTTGGAGCTGCTGGCCCGGGTTCCCAATGACTGAGCAGGACTCTCATTAGAAGCAACTCCACCCCCCTTCTGCGGGATCAATTATTAATGAAGCTCCTGAATCTTTGCCAGTGTAATCTCCCGACTGTTGTCTGCAGCCATTACCAAGAGAGGAAGGGCAGAGTGCAGTGAGCCTGTTAGTGAGGGGATGGCCAGTGAGGTGCTCCAGGTTTTCACTTTCAGGCTTCAGAGGGCGAGAGCACCTATAGGTCAGAGGTGCCTCCCCTGGTAAGGGAAGACGCCCTAGCTCTGCTTTGCCTCCTGGGGCCAATCCCTTATTGTGTGTTCCAGAAGGCTAGGGGTAGGCAGGCTGAGTAAAAAGCAAGCCCTCAACAGCCTAGGAAGCTGTGTCCGTCTGGGGCACAGAATCGGGTAGCTGGTGGCTCTGGATGTCACTGATGGCCTGGACTACAGAGGCAAACCAGGGCCTGCACATGGCCAGGATAGAGGCAATGCGATGGCCATACTTCTGTCTGCCTATCAGCTTCTCTGAAGGAAAGGCCTACCATATGGGAAGTGACACGTGAGGCCAGAGCAGATGGCGGAGGAGCCCCAGGAGCTCCCGGAGGAGCCTGTCTCAGAGCAGTATCCGAAGCCAGCCCGGAGCCCATCCAGATTCACTCCCTGACCACAAGGAGGGCTGCCTCTAAGCTGTGTGATTCTTGTGAAAACTCCTGGCACAAAGAGTCATGCCTGCCCCTTTCCCCCCGCCGCTGTGTTCTTTTCGTGGCTTCCTCTCCATCTAGAATTCCCTGTCAACATGCCGCTGTCTCATGGGGCCTAGGACTACTTGTGGACAGGGCTGTTTCCTGTTCCCAGTCAGCACTTTTGTGGGGTCACATCCCCCAGTGAGTGTTGTGTACATTCAGGGACTAATAACTGGGAGAATTTGGGAAGCAGGCTGTAGAGATGCCTGAATAATTAGTGATGCTTCGTGCCTGTAATCCCAGAACTTGGGAGGCAGAGAGAGGAGGTATTTTTAGTTTGAGGCTGGAGGGGACAGGGGAGGAAGTTGTGTAACTATACGAATGTAACCAATCCTGTCTACCTCTGTGCTCAGCTTCGTAGATGTTAGGTGACCACAGTTTTCCTGGCTTAAAATGTCTGGGGTTCCTTGAGAAAAGGATGCTCTGTACCCTCTAAGCTATAGTGTTGTGCCTGGATTCCTGTGGCCCCCCTGAGCCACCAAGGCTTGTAACAGAGCCAGGATGGTAGAGGCAAGCAACCAGGACACAAATGGCTGAGCACAAAACTCCTGTTCTGGTCACCGTGGAGCCTGAGTCACCATGGCTGCACAACTAGGGGAGGACAGTCCAATACCATGCAGACACAGGGAACAGACTGTGCTGTAAGGCTTGGCGGGATACTCGGAGCAGGGGTGGGTGAGGGTCTTGGGTGAGAGTCTGAAGGGTAAGGCTGCTGGGCTCTGGGGCCCGATTCTACTGCGATCAGACCTAAAGCTAAAATGGGGCAGAGAGGGAGCAGCTCAAGTGTGTCCTGGCTTTTTAGCCCATCTGTTAGATGGCAGACAGGCCAGAGGTGTCTCCAGCAGAGGACACAAAGGACAGAGTGGGCAGGAAGCAGGGAAGGAGGCTGGGAAAAGGGAGAGCACACCCCTGAAGTCACTGAATATAATTACTCATTAGACCTTGGCTGTGGGGAGCTGGTCCTGTAGGTCCAGACCCAGGCTGCCTAGGCCCTCAACAGAATCAACTGATGATTGCTGAGTTATCTGAAGATAATACCCTAACTCCAATGGGCCAGTGTGTGTTTGTTGGGGGGGGAGGGGGAATAACATGAAAGTGATGGGTTTGCTATTTTTTTTTTTTTAAACAAATCTTTAACTGCTGAGCCATCTCTCCAGCCCTTCCGGGGTTGGGGAACTTTTCAGGGGTGGGGGTGGAGCACGTGGTAGGCAAGCAGTCTATCAGAATGACACCTCTAGCTCTGAGGTTTGAGGTTTGACTGTCTCCTCAGAGTTATAGTGTCTGGAGGGGGGACCCAGAGGGAAGAGTTTGGGGCTCCTCAATACACTGTTACCACAAGACTGCGTTTGTTACAGAAGCACGTTTGGTTCCCCTCTTTACCTCTCTCTTCAGGGCAAACTCTCTGCTCTATATGGCACGTTAGGGTGTGACATAGGGCCCTTGCCAGGTGTCAGTCCCCTTCTCTTGGATTTTGCAGCTACCAGAAGCATAAATTAATCTACTGCTTATAACTTACTCAGCCTGTGGGGTAGGGTTTGTCACACAGCTGTATTAAGGCAACACTGTTGACTGGCAGAGAAACGTCTGACTCCCTCCACTTTCCTTGGTAAGCTTAGAAGCTATCCTCCCAGGCCAAGTATTGAACTTGGAGAGACCTGTTATTTAGAGTGAGGACGCACGCTATCACGCTGTGGCGGGCACCACAAGGAGTGTTCAATGAAGGGTAGTTAATCTACAGCAACACGGGTGTCTGTAGATCAGTGCCCTTCTAGCTCTGGAGCGCATGACAGAAGGACGAAGTATCACCCCTCCCTGTCACCACCCTGGGACCCGGAAAGATGAAGAGGGGTCATTGCCATCTACTTCCTCCCTGTGGAGCATTATGCTATACCTGCTAAGCCCAGGCTGGACAAGGGCCCACCAAGACCCTCTGGGGAAATTCTAAAGGACCTTAGCTGAAAGCTAACAACAGCAGGATACAAAACGGCTGCTCAGTAGACAAGGAAGTCAACTCAGCTACAGCCTGTCCACACTATGGGAACTGCGTGTTTTGCTCAAGTATGGGAAGGTTTGGCACGCACCCACAGTTTGAGATCAGGACAGATCACTGGGCAGGTGGCCCATCAGGCAACGTGCACAGTACAAGGGCACACTGAAGAGACAAGCCAACAGACAGAAGGTTTGTATACAGAGCGGGAACAACATGGAAGGATTTTTTTTTTTAAATCAACTGCTAACCATGTTTATGTCAAAGAGTACAACTGATTTCAGGGCAGAAGTATTTTTGTTTATATGCTCTACCACCTTGTTTAATACCAAACATTTAATTCCTTCAAAGAGATGTTTTAGATAATTTTTAGAATAAAAGACCTTGAGCCAGATAATGAGCTTTATGTCTCCTCCCAGCACTTGGGAGGCAGAAGCAGGGAGACTGCTGCAAGCTCAAGGCCAGCCTAGTATAAACAGAGACCCTCCCCCCCCCCCCCGTTTCAGAGAGATGGGGAGGGAGGATGGAGAGAGAGAGAGCACACTAAAATAAAGCTAAGGAATGTTGGTACTAGACAGGAAAATTTGCCAGTGTTCTCGGGTGTTTGCCGAGTTAATGAACAGTCATGGAAATGTGTGGCATGCCAGGCACTTAGAGAAGGGCACCGACCAACGTGGCCGCCTGCAAATGCTTACCATCCTTGACAAGCAGGTGTTGCTGGGTTATGGGGATTCATGCCTGTAATCCCAGCACTTGGGAGATGGAGGTAAGCCTCAGCTACAGAGTTGGAAAACAGCATGGGCTACATGAGACAGGCCTTGGGGAAAAAGCAGCAGCCAGGAATGCTGTGTGTACCCTCCCTCTGTGGCAGGAGTAAGAAAGGGTTGTGTGGGCCTAGACAGAGAGCTGTAGGACTACGGAGTGGGTGAGGGGGTCAGGGGAGGCTCTGGACCCAAGTAGGGAGCAGTATTCCTGCTGATGTGTAAGAGGGGGTTAGGGATGCTAGATTCTGGATGTCCTAAGTCCTCCAGAGATCCGTGGGCCAATGCCAAAGTCCAAGAGACACACGGGCCCACTGGAGAGACACATGGTAGGTCAACAGGGAAGGGCCTGGGTGACAGCACAGGGCAGCCTCAGGCTCAGGGACATGGAATGAGCTGCCAGAGGGAAGCCATGCAATTGTCATCTCTTGGCATAGTCACGATCTCACCCACTGACATGCAGAGCAGGAGCATGGGAAACCTCAGAGATGGAGGCGGGACTCTGCCAGAGGGGCCACCTCAACTGTGTCCATTGTGCTTAACAATGGGGCTCAAGAGTCCCAAGATTCTGTGGTAGAAGGACGGTGGATAGCTAGGTCTGAGGCAGCAAGGCCTAGGACTCCTTGTTGTCTTGATGACAGAAATCTCATCAAGGATGAGATGGGATTGCAGGTCGGTTCTGCTCAGCTATTCTGACAAGTCAATGCTTGGAACATGGAGACGAGGGTTCAGAGGCCTCAGTGAGGATCGGCAGGAGAGGGGTCCAGGACTGACTCTGGGTACGACTGGGTAAAGGAAGTGGGCTAGCCCTGAAGTGTCCTGAGTTTGCAGTCTTGAAGCCTCCTGAGAACACAGCGACCGTCTGAAGACCCTGTAGGAAAGGCTCACCCTGGTGACCCCAGCCAGCCGAGCAGTGCGGGGCTCCAGTGGCTGCTGACCTGCTCGGGAGAAGTGGCCGTAATCTGGAGACACAGGCTTCTCCACTGTGGAGCTTGGACTCCATGTCACCCTCCGTGTATGCACGGGGTGGACGGCTCTGATGCTGGCCTCGGCTAACAGCAGCCCAGGCTAGGTGGCCTCTTGTTCTCCTGGGTCTTGGGTACCTCTATTCCTGCAAATACAGGAAAAGATGGCATCAACCAGGTATCCTACAGCTGACAACAGGCAAGGACTATTCTACCCTGACAGCTGGAGCCCTGTACTTGGTCCCTGGGTCTGTCCTCTGAGGCCTAGATGACCTGGTGTGGGAAAGACCCAGGGGACACTTGGGGTTGTGGCATTCAGGTAAGCTGGAGGCAAGACACATCTGAGGAACAGAAGCCTAAGCTTGACCCAAAGGAGGCCATGTGGAGAGCAGGGAGGCCAGGGAAGGTGCCTGAGTTGGCAGATGGGGGCATGGAAGCTGTTGGCCTGAGATATGGCTAACAGCCCAAAGGTCCCAAGAGGACAGCAAAGGTGGTAAATTAGGATGGTGGGTGTGGGCTTCTGGTCCCTATCCTGCCCTCTGCCCTGCCCTGCCCTGCCCTCTCTGTACGCACGGATTAGGTCTCCATCGCCATCTCCGACCTGGGACTGGGTCCTGGGCCTCTTCTCCAGGTCCTCAAGTACAGACCGCTCAAATGCTAGCGCGGCGACGCGGCTGAAGAATGCCTTCACATTCTCTCCTGGGGGCCCACAAGACAGCTACAACTCAAGTTGCCCTCAGATGCAGTACAGGCAAATGCCAGGTCAGCCCATCCCTAGGCTGGCCATGGCGATCTCAGAACACACCTCACCGTCACATTAGCAGCCTGCCCACAGGGGTGGGAGACAGTATGGTTCTGGTGGCAGCCTGGCTTCCCAGTGGGCTCTGGCCCCCATCCCTGCCCTGCGGCCCCCTGCCCCCACCCCACCCCCCGGTCAGTTGCTTCTGAACACTTGCACAACCTGGGCCAGGCAGGGCTCTCTAGCAGCTAGCCATGTGCCGTTGGCGATTACAAGGCGTCTGTGTGCATGGCCCTGCAGATCTCAGCACCCAGCGTAAACACTGCCTGAGTGCAGCCAGGAACCTGTGCAGAACAACCCCACTTGCCCCACTGCGGGGTCCCAGTGCTCCTGCTCTTACTGTGATCAAGTTGTAGATGGACGCTCCTGCTGAGGAAGACCAGCAGATGGCCCCAGGCAGGGGCACAGCCAGGGATTTGGGAGGGCCTGGAGGGGGCACTTGCACTTTCCACTCATGTCCAGTCCGTGGCCAGATACACACTGACCCTGTGCACCTGAGCAAGGACTGCTGGCCCAAGTCCCCGCAGCCTTGGGGATCTCTCACGTGCCAGGCATCACATGTCCTTTCACTTCGGGATTTCTGGCTTTGCTCTTGGACTTCTGCCTCTCCCCCCCCACCCCCGCTCTTTTGGTAATGAATGCATGTGGGGCGCACTACTCACCCGTCTTGGCAGATACAGACCAGTACTCTGCCTGCATCTCATTGGCCAGGTGCACAGCCTCTGCTTCTGCCTGCTTACACGCTGCCCCTGACTGGAACAAACGGCCCCGGCTGACTCGGCGTCTTGGCCTTCCTTGCAGGAGTCCCTGGGATGGCCACCTTTCTCGCTACCCTTGGTGGGGTATCTCAGGGCGGGCTGCTTGCCCAAAGCTGACACTTGAGTGCTCCCCAGGGAAATGAGTCATCCCCACCTCTTAGGGGAGGGGCACAGGAGCTGAGTTGCCTGCTGCAATTTCACAGCCCATAGTCTGAAGTCCAGCATAAGGCGTGTCACTGGCCTTCAGCACTCCTCAGCTATTTTCTGGAAAGCCAGTCGGGGCTGGGCCTCCAGCTTTACCCTGCTTACCAGGAGATCCTTCTTGGTTCCCACGAGGAAGATGAAGCAAGAGCCGGCCTCGTTCTCCCTCAGCGCATCCTCCAGCCATTGCCTGGAATGCACAGAGTGGGAACAAGAGGCCTGGACTTAGCCAGGAGGTACAGGGAAGGTACCCTGTCTACCCTGACCACGGAGGAGGTTGGGGCTGGACCCAGAAGGGCCTCAGTGGGCACAGGAGGAGCTGGAATATACAGGCACTGGTTTGGGATGGGTGAAAACTCCTACTGCAGGAACTAGGTGTCCCTGCCATTTATCAGCTGAAAAAAACCCATTCCTGTCTCCTGCACAGGAGATGCTGCTGTGAAGGGCCCAGGCAAACCCAGGGAAGAAGGGCTTTGGTCCATTAGGTGGATTATTTCTGGCAGATGGCGGCCCTCTGAAACTGGTCACGCTGCCCACATCTCTGCCCAATATAGCAAGTGAAAAATTTCTTTCAGGGAGGATTAGCTATGAAATTATTAGGGACCCAACGTGAAAGTGACAGAGGGTCCCTCATCAACATAAAGCTTCCCATTATGGTGGCAGCGGGACATAAAAGCCAAGGGTGGCCCGCCAACTCGGGCCTCTGAGCAGCAGGTGGGGATGTTTCTAGGGATAAGCAGGGAACTGGGTAGTAGGTGCCCATCATTCTGGGTCCAGCCCTGACGCTCAGGTTTGAGAGCCCTTCCAGAAAACTTCATCAGTCTGTGACATACAGGGGGGAGGGTCTGGGCTTACTTGCCTGGTGTGCCCCAGTGTCTGCACATCAGTGAGGTCGAAGGCTGTGATGATCACTGGACACAGGAAAACCCAAAAGCCAATCAACAACAGGCATGCTGGAGGAAGGCTCTCCTGGGTATCTTCCCGCAACAACTACTGGGCTGCCTCCCTATGGAGACTAGAGAGGGGTCACCCCACCGTTATCCCTTAGACCTACCTCCCTACAGCTGCCCCCCAGGCCCTCCAAACCTGTACCTAGCAGCCTGGCCTGGGAGAGGGAGGTGCACAGAGAAAGCCCTGAAGCACTGGACTCTGGCAAGAGAGCCTCTGCCACTTGTGGTCTAAAGGGCATGGTGAGGGCTGTAACTATGGAGACCCTGCCTCCCCATCTGTACATTTGCAAGGATGATACCCATCCTTGCAAATGGGGGTAGGGAGGATGGGAACACACTGTTTGGAAAAGCTGTTAGTCTAGGGCCTGACCCTGGGTAGACTTTTAATTGAAGGATGGGGATCAGTAACAGCCCGTTAAAGGAAATGACTTCTGTGGGCAGAAAACTGTAAGGTATCTTCTGTGGTCAGCTCTTTCATCATAGTCTGCCCTGGATTCCCAAGGGGAAGGCCACAGCGGGACGGTCCAGGCACAGGTCTGCTCTCTGCTGCCCTACTGTGGATAAGAGCAGGCTGGACACGGGCTCCCTGCACTGGGGCTGATGAGAGTCCTACAAGTGATGGGAACGGTGAGTACAGTTCACACAAGTCTGCCGTGCACCTCACAGCGCTAGCTCCAGGGAGGCAGCAGGCCCTCAGGAAGAAAGGTTAGGAGAGGTGAAGGCTGGCAAAGGCCACAGTGGACCTGGCTAATGCTGGACTTCCATCCATGGCGCAGGCACTTACAGCTTACTTCCTGTTCCCCTTCCTTTAGACGGGGATCAGACTGCACAGACCACCACCAAGAAGACATAGCTGTGCTTATACTTATACTGGGATCCTTCTGATGGTTTTTCTTACCTCCTACTAAGAGTCTCCTTCTGTCTCCTTCCTGGGGACTTCGCATTGCTATCTCTGTGGACTTTGATCCTGCTCAGCCCCCTACTGCCCCTGGCTATGTTGGCAGTGGGCACTGGGGCCCCAGTATGGGCTCTGCCAACGCTGCTGGGTCCACCCGTCACTCCTCTCTGGCCTAGCTGCCTCTGGCTAAGACAGAAAGGAAAAGCCTCTCCTCATTGTCACCTGGAACATGACGCCATCTCTTTTTTCTCTGGGACCCTTGAACAAGAATGTCCTTTTCTGAACTGGGAACTGGGGACTGACGCAGCCTGCATCCAATACTTCAGACTCCCTATGGGGGAGACTATCAAAGACAGCCAGGGCCTAGACTTCTAGGGAGCTTCCTCCGCCCTGAGCACTAGCTGCGGTGCTCTTCCAGTGGCTTCGGGAGGACAGGGGAGTAGTGTTTGTGCTGATGACACAGGTTAGAGCTCTGGCGTCACAGGCTGCTCACCCTGAGCACCGCGGTAGTAGGCAGAGGCAATGCATTTGAACTTCTCCTGCCCGGCCGTGTCCCAGCTGTGGGGGGAAGAGGAGACAGGAAGGCAAGGGTCAGGTTAAGCAGTCATTGTATCCTACGGCAATGCAACAGTGACGTCAGGGGAAGACCTCAGGGCCCACATGGACACGCCCGCCACTCTTGAACAGGAAGTGAGGGGGGGGGTCCCAGTTCTCCCTGCCTCCGGTCCTGCAGTCCCTCCTGGGTTCTTCTCCCGGATCTCAGGGCCAGCCAACAGGAGAAGGTGCAACAGGACAAACTGCCTTGTATAGTTGTGTAACATTATAGAGGACCGTATGTTCTATAGCAGCGTGTGTGTGACTGGGGCACGGTTTCACCCTCAGCTCAGGAGCTCCCTAAGGGTAATGGGGCTAAGGGGGATGCAGGACACATATCTTGGACAACTGACCAGTTGGCCCTGGCTTTCTGAAACAGTCTGTTGAGAAGGAACGAGAAGTTGAGCCCTAGATCCACGGAAAAGGAATGAGATAACAGATTAATAATGTCTGCCATGGCTACAAGGTGGAAGAGGGGAAGGTGGCATTCGGAGATCTTCTTGTTCAGGCTTGTATAGGTTGCCAATATGCAGGGATGGCCCTGCAATCCAGTCTACAATCCATTGCTTTTTAAAGTCAACATATCAATGTTCATTTTTTTTCCTCAGTAAGGTAAAACAATAACCCACAAATGTGATATGAATGATCTGAATTTGTTTTTAAGCAGTTCAGCATAATGAAAACTTCTGGGATATATTCCTTCATTAATTCATTCTTTTTTTTTTTTTGTCTCTGAAGAAGCTTCTAGTGAGGAGTTGGGAGTCGGCAAGCGAGAAGAACACAGTGACTGCTACATAAGACAGCAGTGAGGAGGGAGGAGGGGGAAGCCTCAGCAGAGGGCACAGAGGTCTGGGAGCTGGGTAGGCTTGTAAGATCTTCCAGGGAGTGGGGAGAATGAGGCCAAAGCACACAGCACTTTCACCAAGGAGGAAGAAGGTCAACCCTGGGAAGGCCCCGCACTGATGTGAGGGAAAACAAAAGGGGATCAAGGTGAGGCAGAAACCACTGGGCCACTGAGAGGCAAAGGTGGGGTTAGAGAAGACAGACTGATGGGGAAGAACAATGTGGACAGAAGAGATATGGGTGTCAGAGGAAAGCGACAGGAGGATGGAAGCATCAGGCTTGAGGACAGGGTGAGGGCAGAGCAGCCTCCAAGAGAACCCTCCTCACCCTTCAGGGCTGGCACACAAGGACAGGCATGCCCTAGTTTAGAGATGAGATTAGAAGCTCAGGAAAAACTTTCAGAGGCCAACCTTCTGCTCGTGAGCTCCCAGGAGGTCCAACTGGGAAGGAAGGGAACCTTAGGAAGGAGCTGTTGGGGAGAATGGGTGAGTGTGCCATCAGGCTATGAGGGCCATCCCAGACCTGATGACCAACAGGAGGCAACTGTGGGGACAGAGAGACCCCAGGGACCCAAAAACCACAAAGCCTGGCTTCTTCCCACCTCCCAGTGCAAGGCTGAGCCTTTCTCCCTGAGGAGATCTGGAAACGATAGCAGAGACTTACATCTGGAGGCTGTAGGGGATCCCCGCAATCTCAAAGCGCTCAATTTCGAAGTCTACCCCAATCGTGGCCTTGTAATCACGGTCGAAAACATTCTTGCACAACCTGGGGGAGGCGAGGGGATCCTTAGGGCCCCCTCCAGAAATGGGGAGAGATGCTCGGAACAGGGAAAGTTTGCAGGAAATATGATTCCCCCAATAGGGGAGCAATGAATGATGGTGGCTGGGTGGTGGCGCTCGCCTTTAATCCCAGCACGAGGGAGGCAGAGGCAGTAGGATCTCTGTGGGTCTGAGGTCAGCCTGGTCTACAGACGGAATTTCAGGCCAAGTCAAGGCTAAGAAATGATACCCTGTCTCAAAACCAAACACAACACAACACAAAACAAAATGCCAAAAAGCAACAAAGAAAGTGCTGGCAGAGGTAGTGGGTATTCAGGCATGTTAATCAGCTTCCCGCCACCATAGCAACGTCTGAGATACCGGTCACCCGTGGGGAGAAGGTCATGGGGCTCACAGCTTTAGCTGTTCTTTTGTTCAAGTGTGTGCTGTCACCATGACATAGCAGAAGAACATCCCTCGTGGCCAGGAAGCTAAAGAAGGGAGTGAGTTGGGGCACGCTGTTTCCTCCATGTGTGCACCCCGCAGTGACCAGTGACCCCCAGCAAGGCTCTACCTCTTAAAAAGTTCTGCCACTTTACAAAAGTGCCACCAGCCGGAGACCACAAGTCTCTGACACAGGGACCTGCGAGGAATGCTTATGGGAACCATAGCAACAGGGCAGCCAGTAAGAAAGATGTGGGGAGGGGAGCGGCACCAGCCCAGGAAGAACAGGAGAACACAAACAGTGAGAGGAACTGAGGGTCCAATCCCAGGGAGGACAGTGCAGGGGCCCTACGGGGAGTGTGTGATGGATGCCAAGTGTCCGGGATGCTCCATCATCTGCCAGTCACGGTAGTGTGTGTGTGTGTGTGTGTGTGTGTGGGTGTGTGTGGGCGCGCGCGCGCGCGCGCGCGCGTGTGCCTGTGGTGGCCAAAGGAGTCAGACCTTCTGGAGCTGGAGGTGGAGGCAGTTATGAGCCATACAATGGGAGTGCTGGGTCTCAAATTCTAGGGTGTGGCAGAGCAGTACTGCTGAGCCATTTCTCTAACCCTCTCCTTGACTCCTGCCACTCTTTTCAAACTGTCTCCCAGGCTAAAAGCAGGGTCATGTCCCCAGAGTCACGTGCTACCTGAGGCTTCCAGGCAAAGGCAGATAACTTGGTGATGGGAGGTGAGGCCAGCCTGAGAGCAGATGGGTGTGTGTGTGTGTGTGTGTGTGTGTGTGTGTGTGTGTGTGTGTGT